AGCCAAGAGTGCTTGGATGGATTGCTTAGAGCTTTATGAGGACGCTATACACCATATAAACCACTCAACCACTTACATGAGCCCAACTGACGTAGAAAAATGGCTAAGTGTTGCTCTAGTTAATCACCAAGCATGCCAAAATGGCTTCAAAGATTTGAAAAAAAACCTCTTACAAAATTTCTCCAAATCACTTGTAGATTTACTAGCCGATAACAAATCTTCAACTGCTTACTTCTCAAAAGTAATCGGGACAAACTTGGTGGTGGCTCAAGATGGTTCTGGTGATTTTAAAACGATAACTAGAGCTCTCAAAGCATCACAGCATCGAAGAACGGGAATAGATAGATTTGTTATACATATCAAATCTGGTGTTTACAAAGAACACATCTTTATCAAGCAATCCATGATCAATTTGACACTTATTGGTGATGGCATTGATGCAACTGTTATAACCAACAATAGAAATTATAAAGACGGACACACAACTGCTGACACTGCAACCGTGCGTAAGTTTTTTTTTTTTTTTTCATTATTTAGATTCACTTCTAGTATTTAATTCTCAATCTAATATATAGAGATTTGGGGCTCGGGTTTCGTGGCAATCGGGATTACATTTGAGAACACCGCGGGTCCTAGGAAACAACAAGCTATCGCGCTTCTCTCAGCTTCAGATCTATCAGTTTTCTACAAATGTAGCTTTAAAGGTTATCAAGACACCCTGTGCCTCCTAAAATACCGTCAATTTTATCGCGAGTGTGACATCTATGGGACCATCGATTTCATTTTTGGTGACGCTGCTGCCGTCCTCCAAAATTGCAATATTTATGTCCGGAATCCATTGCCCGGACAACAAAACACAATTACGGCTCAAGGAAGAACCGATGCACGTTCGACAACGGGATTTGTTATGCATAATTCTCATTTCACTGCGGCCCCTGACTTGATTCTAGCACAAGAGTCGGGGGTGGGGTCAATCAGGACATTTCTCGGGCGACCATGGAAGGACTACTCGAGGGTCGTATTTATAAAGTGTTATCTTGATAGTTTGATTGATTCATTAGGGTGGATGCCATTTCAGGGGAACCTAGACTCTGTATTTGATAAAGTGTATTATGCAGAGTATATGAACACAGGAAACGGTGCAAACACCGGTGGTAGGGTAAGGTGGCCGGGGTACCATATTTTGTCGACCGCCGGTGAGGTGGAGCAATTTTCCGTTCAGAGTTTCTTTGACGGAGAGTTATGGATTCCCTCAACAGGGGTGCCATTTGATTCTAGTATTTAAATGTTTTTTTACCTTTAGAGACAAACAAACATTACCTAGTAGTAATAGTATAAAAATTGCTCGGTTTTAGGGCGAAAATCCGTAACATAGATCAGAAGGTGTGGTGTATATCGCCACTCAGCTCTTTGTAATTGTTGATGCTCTTTGTATGTTTTGATGTGGTTTCCATTTGTACTTCTTTTGTCATCAGTCGGTATCAATCTCTAACTAATTTTGTTTATAAAATATCGTCTTTTTGTTGTACAAAAAAAAAAAAAGTAGTACAAAGTTTGTGCAGAATATTTTATAGGAAAAATGAGAGATCGATGTTGTATACTTGTATTAGAGTAATATATATTTTTTTTCTTCAAAGTGGACTATATATATCATTATATCTTATGCGCACGATTGCATTAGTTTATTATGAAATCTGTTATTATATTACTTTGATTTAGTAGATAAATATTAAAAAATCATTTGACTCAAATAATTATATTATAATAATTAGCATTTAATGTGTAAATAATGTTTATTAATTCTAACACTTCTTAAAAGGTAAAACTATATATATATATTATATATATATATATATATATATATATATATATATATATATATATATATATATATATATATATATATATATATATATATATATATATATATAGGTTCAATGAAAACTACAAAAAATTAAGAACTCTAAAAACCCTTATTTCATAATTAAGTATGTATTGTGAATACATATTACATATGCTAACATCGTGATTCTTGTTTTTTTGGCAAAAAAAATTGGAAAATCATAATTTCTTTTTATAGTCTAATATTTTCATTCATACATTCATTCATATTTTTACATAAAATTTATGTAAAATACATCTTAATACATTATATTTATAGTTTAATACATAAACTACACAACTTAATACAATAAAATTTATACTATTTCACAAATGCAGAGAAATCAAACCCAAACTATACTATCACCACCTCTACCACAAGCTGCCATCAACCATATGTGCCACCTCGCAACTATCATTCAATTCAAATCAGATATGTATGTAAAAACATGTATTGACAGCTCAAATATTACATTCATAGTTTAATAAATCTATTAATTCATTTATTTTGAATTTCATGTAAAACAATCATAAAATCTATCACATATACTTATACAACACAAAAAATAAATATATTCATAAGAAATTAATAGAAAAAATCATACAAAATCATTCATATTTTAACACAATTTTTTTTAAAAAATTCACAGTTTAATACAGTCAATTCGCAACTTAATACAGTCAATTACAATTTAATACACAAAATACACAACTTAATATAAAATTTTCACAATTTAATGCACAAAAATGCTTTGTTTTTAACTTAGTCTTACAATTATACATCCATATATTAAGGCTAGCTCTTCTTTCAAAATTTAATTTATACAATATTCACAATCTAATTTTTATATAATTTATTCAAAATTAGAGAAAATCATATATGTATATAATGTTTTTTTCGTCTTATATTTTAGAAGCAAATACAATATTTATAAAAAAAAACTTATATTTTAATACAGTTAATTCACAGTTTAAGACAAACTTAATATATTTAATTCACAGTTTAATAAAAAAAAATTCACAGTTTAATAAAAAAACAAATTATACATTAACAACCATATTATCAATTTAAAACTTATATTTCAAACCTTCTTTTCACATTTTAATAAAATAGATCATGACTTTCATTCACACAATTAACGATACTAGTTCACAATTTAATATAGCTTAACAACTTATAAATCTTCTTGTTAAGAAATTTAATTAAACAATGTGTGGAAAAGTTTTAATACTATATAATATTTTATCCTTAATTTCCATATAATTAATCTCAAATTAAAAAATCTTTTGCTATATATTTATTGAATTGATCGTGTATAATTGTTAATAACTATTCTAATTATTAATAATTATTCCTACTATATACATTAAGGGGGTGTTTGATTTAACTTTTCACATCCCAAAAGTCATTTTTGGAAAAATTACGAAAAGTTAGGTTTTCTTGACTTTTCTAAAAAGTTCATTTTCCTTGTATCAAAACTCCAAAAGTACTTTTAAAACTAGATTTCCCAAACATGTTTAATTTTTTTTCTTTTCCAAAAAGGATTTTTGGTTGTGAAAAGCTAAACCAAACACCCCTAAACTTATTAATTCAAATGCAAAAAAGTGAAAAAAGATATACCAAATGTCCTAGCAGCAGGAAATATGGCAACATCGATACTAGTAACGCACAACCTTTGATACATCATATATGCTTTAACTGTTCACCACCTCCATGACGTCATCGAAGAACAATTTCGACTTCTCATTTCTTGCAGATCTTACACTCTATTTTCAACAATAATCCTTCAAAAATACATGAAGAACTCGTCAAAACATATCTCGTCCATAAGTCATAAGCAAACATCACACCACCTGGAAACATAAACCGTCGTCCGAACACCTAGCCGGAAAACGACAACGGAAAAGCATCACATACTCAGATCTGGTTTGCATTCTAATGTAATCGTTAATAGACTAAACGAAAATGTTTTCGTAAAACTCCTAGAGATCCCGGTCTCTAATAGTTGAGGGAAGAGATGACGGCGATAGAAGTCGCCGGAGGAGAGGAAGGGGGAAAGATCCGATGGAAATGATTGTGTATACCGCTCTATAATAGTTGGCAGATAAGACGGTGGTAACAGATCTCGTCGAAGGAAAAGAAGAGGAAGAGATTTGATTGAAACGACAGTAGGTCAACGACGACGAAAGTGACGAGATGGTGGCCGGAAAAGTTGGATGCATTTTAGGGTTAGGGTTTTTTCTTGATGGAAAAGGTGGAGAGAGGTTTATTTGTTTATATCTGATTTGTGGAATGAAGAATGTGAATTTGATCCAAGTTATAAGTAAAATGACAACATTAACAAAAATACCCTTAGTTTTAGGAGTTCTTATGGTTTTTAATTTTGTGTGGTTCTTATTTTAACTTATATATATATATATATATATATATATATATATAGAGAGAGAGAGAGAGAGAGAGAGAGAGGGTGAGGTTCAATAGAAAATCATAATTAACCAATGAATCATTTTTTTTTTCAATTTTTAGAACTTATTTTTTATAAAAAAAAACTAAAAATACAGAAATTCATAACTCTTTTATCATTTTTCCAATGATATCAAATTCGATAAAAAAATTTCTCGTCAAATTCACAATGTGAATCTTTGAAAATTCTTAATATGAATCTAAATTCACACGGTTAATCTGAAAAATATATTTAATATTCATAATATTAAGTTATGAATTTAGATATTTTTAGTTTTTTTTTTTCAATAAAGAATAAGCTCTAGAACTTGAGAAAAAAAATTGATTCCTTGGAGAACCAATAAGTATATATATATATATATATATATATATATATATATATATATATATATATATATATATATATATATATATATATATATATATATATATATATATATGGAAAAGTGAATATACCCTTAAGGGTATATAAGCTTAGGTACCCAAACTCACTATAATTAGTTGTTTTGTTTGATATATATTCATTATAATGTTATTAAACTTCAACTTTAACTTGATTTACTTTGAAGATTTTCGAAATTTCACTATTGTTTTCCTCTTATATCACTTTTTTTTTGCCGAACACCTATTAAGCTATATATATTAGAGTTGAAAATGAAAATTATGTAAGAGGAAGATAAATGTGAAATTTATAAAAATCTTAGAAGTAAATCAAGTTAGAAGTTGAATTATAAGAACATTGGAGAATTACAATGTACACATATGATACAAAACAACATAGTATGGTGAGTTTGGGTACCTAAGCTTATATATACCCTTAAGAGTATATTCACTTTTCCCATATATATATATATATATATATATATATATATATATATATATATATATATATATATATAATATGACATTTATTAAATATGTTAACAGACTTTTATAGTTATTTTATTAAATATGTATTAAATGTATGTAATTAAGCACTTATGGTAGTATCATTCATAGATTTACTCTTCCACATTTTCGGAAATATATTATACATATGATTAAACGATGATAAAAAAATGTAATCAAAATATACTTATAGCTATATGTATTGTAATATACCAAAAATTATTGCTAATGTATTGTAAAAGTTGCCTCAAACCTATTACGTATCTAGTGAAATACTATCATTTTACTTGATTACATTTAGTTAATTATGGGTGTTTGGATTTCTTATCGGAAGAATTTCATATATATCCGTAATACAAAAAAACATATTATATTGGTTCGTCAAATATCTAAATTTCATACATATTGTTAATAAGTTTTTAAAATATGATATTTGTCAAAATCTTTTTTTTTCACATTTTAATAACAATTTATTATACTTTTAAAGTTTATATTATAAGAAAATCAAGAATACCCATAATACCCATACTTTGAACAAAACCATGTGAAAATAAAACTACAGAACAACATGACCTCCAATAGCAATAACAATACATTTGCCTCACAATGTTTAATTTATGCATATTCCAATAGTTGAATTATGAAAGTGAAATGAAACGCATAGAATTAGTATAAACATCAATATCTAACAATTTAGAAGTGTTTATTAATGTTTTAAATTTAAACTAACAATTTAAATAAATAAGCATCTAAAATAATTGGATTCAATGTAGAAAATTTAAAATTATTAGGAAAGTTGCGTTAATGAATTGGATATATACATATATTACATTTAAGTATTATATGAAATTTAATAAAATAGAAAAAAAAAACCCCACAAAATGACATATAGATATTATTTAATTTAAATTTACAACAAAATGACACGTGACATAATGCATACGATGATGATAAGTGACAAAATTATTTTTATTTATTAGGAAAGATTAAAAATTATAATAAATGATTATAAGAATGTTAAAAATAAGATTTTTGGACAAATATGATATTTA